GTAGGTTGGAGAAGTGTTCCCTCCATAAATTCAATATACTCTTTATATAATTATAATAATACATAATTATAATTATAATTTTAGTTTTAATTTTAATTTCAAATTCTAATTTTAATTTTTAGTAATACAATTTTTGAGATTTTCCACGGTGCGTGGGCTCTTGCTGTTAGATACCTAAGGAAACAGAAAAGCATACTAAGTGCACGCGGTAGGTAACTTTCTTGAGATTTATGAAATAGCGGCCCACAAAGTGGCTCTATGCTCGCCATTCGTATTAGTGTGTAGATATGTAGGTAGGTATGTTATCATAGGATATCAGCTGCTGTATTTAGTGACTATGCAATTGAATGCAAACAACGGAATTGAATTAGCGATCTGAGATTTGTGGCATCTCCGCCAGTCGGTATACTCCCTATCATTCAACAGCAACTTGCCGTGATTACCTCACTTCCTGCTGCATTTGCAGTTATATTTGCAGACGCTGAGAGTCACATATAAATTTATTGTAATTTTATAATGTAATTGGCGGAATGGGCCAAACTTGTTTGCTGCGTGTTGGTGGTGATACTTTTAAGTCGAACAGCTTTTGAAGTGTGGCGCATTCACCGCTTTTTATCAAATAATCCGTCATTAATACTGATCTACGCACAGCGCGGCATCACCAGCCAACGCATTTTATATTCCTGCAACCACAACTCGGGCAACAATTAGCGAACGAGCTTGTTAAAATGTAATTGCATTCATTTTCTAAAGCAAAAGCAACAACGCATTTCCGCTGCTTAGCTGTCAAACAGACAAACCCACATTTCCCTCACACATCATCAACTCAGCAATATCGAATGTGCGTATTAGTATCAACAGCAGCGAAAGTAAATAATGCAAACGAGGCCAAGTCGCAAGACGCAAAACTTTCTTTGGCCATCACGACTCAAAATGTGGCCGCAATCTCGGCACACAAACACACTTGAGAGATGGGGAATTATGCATGGCTGTCTGTTTTGTGACCGTGACGCCACTTGACATATGTATGTTGACTTGACATGCGTCATGGGAAACGGCAGCAGCAGCAACAACAACAATAACATGCCTTGAGATGACGTGCCATTTCTGACTCAAACACTTTTTCCCTGCGTCGCGACGGCGATTAGCCGTAAGCTCTCGCCCGCTGGTTAGCTGTCGCCCAGAAGTGGCGGTAAATGCCACTAATCTGTGCGACAGAAACAAACAAATAAACACGGCTGAAGTTGTTGGTGTTGCAAACGAGTTTTATTAGTTGTATGCTACAACAGAAACAACAACAACCTGCTGGGATTGTCCCCTCACTGCTGCAGCCACTTGAAAACAAGACAGAAGTACTGTCTTCGGTCATGCCGAAGTCTTTATACCTTTCATGACCATGTAAAATTCATAGCAAGATGCTTGGTTCTATTTAAATGATTTTCATGGTGAATTGCTTTTGAGTTTATGTATGGAGAATACCAAATTTCACGCTCCTAGATGCTTTTTTGGTCGGATTTCTGACCACAAAACCTCATATCTGAACAAATCGGTTGTATGGGAACTATATCACATAATCTTTCGACTTCGATGACTTTCATGGTGAATATTTATTTGAATTTAAGAATGGAGAATACCAAATATCACGCTCCTAGATGCTTTTTTGGTCGGATTTCTGACCACAAAACCTCATATCTGAACAAATCGGTTTTATGGGAACTATATCACATAGTCTTTCGACTTCGATGACTTTCATGGTGAATATTTATTTGAATTTATTTATGGAGAATACTAAATTTCTTGCTCCTAGATGCTTTTTTGACGGATTCTTAAACTAAAAGCTGAAGTCTGAAAAATCGGTTGGTTGTTATAGTGTTCCGATCTGGCCGGCTCCGAAAAATGATTTATGTGCTAAGTTTCGTTCTACTGAAGAACTTATCGACTGTTTCGCGTATAAATCTAGGAACATGATTAAATCAACTCAGCTCCCATTCTAATCCAATCGGTTTAAATTCTTTTGCTTCGGGTACTTACATATCCTACCGCGGACCAAAGTTAAGATACTATTTCATATACATGAAAGGTATAGAAATGAAAATTTCTTTGGCCTATGTTCGACTGGGATTTCAGCAGATCTCATGGTTGTTGGCGTGCTCTGTAGCTCGCGCCGGTTTGACAATCTATTTGTGGCGTCTAATGTGGCATGTCCGATATGTGACATTGCCAAAGTGCCAGTATGCAGATACGATTTCATTGTAAACAAGTCAGTTGACGACGGCAACGACGGCGGCGGTGGATAACGAGAAACCCTCATTTTTTCTGTAGTCTGTTGGTTGTGTGGCATCGATTGGGAAATATGCCGATTTTTGTCGCTAAACTTGTTCACTCGATCTGCACCTTTTCGTGCAGATGTCATGGTCATGGATGGTTGTAAAAAGTCGTAATATAGACTTAAAGACAAGCCGATTGAAGTTTACTTCGCGCTCAAGTACATAAATTCATTTGCTTGTCAGGACCACACCTGCGGGTACGCATTAATTTCATTTCTAATTTGCTTAATATTATTTATTCATTATGGCTGGTTATAAAGTAGTTGAGCAAGTGTAGGTGTTTGGCACGCTTTTACGATAATCTTCTCCTGCAGAGTGTGTGTGTGTATAAATTTGCGTTAACGCATCATAGCTGAGTGGGAAACAGTGCGTGCTACGCGTGGGAGGAAAATGGATCATTAATCATATAATGAAGTGTTGTTTTTGTTGCACCTTATCGGCAGGACATGCCTATATAGAGTGTATTTGTACCTTGGAGAAAAAATTCATCAGAAAGCATTTGGATAAGGCTTAAAACTGGAGGAGAGACTCGGTCAAAAATCGTTCATGTTCCAGGGGCTAAATAATTGAATGACTCTTGGAAAATTTATTCCGCGACGAGATCCGTTAATGCGGAGCATATGGAAAGAGCCTGGCAAAGTGGGTCAAGTTATGGTTACGTCGGCAATACAGACGGAAACTTCGTAGTTATACAACGAAAGTTCGGTGAAAGGATTACAAAGTTCCTAAGCAGACTCTACGAAGCTTGCATTACCAAGACTTAAAGTTAGAACCAAGAGGAATCATCCCTGTCTTTAATAACTGGATACATTTTTTCCTACATTGCAATAATCCCCAAGCGCAATAGAGATTAGACGTGGCGAAACGGGGGAGTGTTATCACCACTTCTCTGGACCCTCCTAGTTAATGGAATGCTGAAGAAGATGGAAGTGGGAGCTGTCAGTCGAAGTCCTCGTGAGCGGCTAGTGTTTGCAGCTTTTGGACCTCTAGGGAATCAGGTATTAACAAAAAGGTTATTTCGGCAGGACTTAAAGTTAATACTGATAAAACAGGATCTGCTTCTATCAAGAAAGGAGTCGCAAAAATCAAGCTTGATTAAAATTAAAGTTGGGAGGGAGAGTTCACTCTACAAGTGAAACATAGCACTGGGTACTTGGAAGTTGTCCTGGAAAACAAGTAGTCATGGAGATTCAAGGTAGTGGAACGAGTGAAGAACACATCACCGGCCCTATACAATTGTAAAATGACGTTGGACTCCACTTGCGGTCTCTCCACCCATCGCTCCCGAAGTCAATCCCAGAGATCCCAAACCTGACGCTACCACGCATTGCGCCACCGTGAAATAGTTGTCTAATCCGGAAATACCTGAAGACTAGGTGGAAATTTCAATTGGGTGACTATGTCTTGTTTGACCCGGGAAGTGTGTAAGTTATTTTAAGCGGCTTGTGCCAACTAAATCTCTCGATCGACAAAATGAAGTATCAAGTGACCCGCCATCTGCCCAAAACATCAAACACAACAACCCCGTGCTTAATTTCTCCTCGGAAGATTTTCTCTTCCTGTAGAATAGGACCCATCGGTCCTGACGGAATATGTATGCTGTTGTTTAAACATCTGCGTCTACCAAAGTTCTCAATTTATCTTTGATCTCAGCTACTGTAACTCCTCAATTTCGACAACCTACGCTTCCTCAGTTCTGCACTTCGCATATGACTGCAAGTGCTACCAAAGTACAGAGCCGCAAAAAAATTCTCTAACCACTAGCGGGCAGCACCGAGGGTAAAGGAAAAGAAACGTTGCTCCGAGCTTACAAGAAATTCCCCGGCCGACAGTTAACCATGCTCCAGGGATATGGACGCCGGGCACTAGTTGAAAGTAGAAGTTTGCCAGGACTGAGATGAGATGTCTCATTTTGTCGCCCATGTACCACTTACGCATCGAAAAATGTATACTTCTATAATGTTATATTGTGCTGCCGTTGCGCCCATACCAATAATACTGGCACTTAATTTCTACCTGCTCAGACATACCCAAAGTGTACACTCCATGTAAGGAGACCCTGCACAATACTAACCATTTGCCGTTGGGATCATCCCAACAGAAGCCGAACTTCCACCCAGTCCCATCAGATATTACGCACTCGACTAAAGCGATTCCACATAGCAATTTAGACAAGAACCACTAGACAGGATAGCATACCCACCTCTCTTCATAAACTTTCTCCCTGTGAATGGCGTTCTCGTAATCCAAACCATAAACCCATTACAGCTGAAGAGCTGTCTCGAGAGATCCGAGTTGTAGTTGACTTAATTCCTACATACCCGGACTTGACCTCGACATTCGTATGTTCTGTTTGACTCGGAGCTCGGCACTAACCACATCTTTTTATGCTCCAAAAACCAACTCACCTAAGACTCTTTCCTCGAAACAGTGCGTTTCTTGAGCATACCATTAGATGACCGAAATGCCTCGTCTGCTTCAACAACAAACATCCATAAATGATTTTAAAGTATGTCTCGTCTCGAGTAAAAGTTCTGCGTTTGGCTTGGAACCCGCCAGATTAAAATCAGTTTCGTTGTAAATGTCGAAAAAGGCTCACATGAGAGCTACCAAATTTAACCTAAGCTACCTCATAAGTATATTCTAAAACGAATTTCTTTTTTATTCTTCCAGCTGTCAACTAAATAGTTTTACCGCAATTATCGTAATCAAAATGATATGTTGCTGCCGGATGAAACTTACGACGAACACATAGAGCATGCGACTGTAGCAACAGCCGATCAACAACAACTGGAGCAGGGGTCCCCTTCAACCGCGTTAAATAGCAACCAAACAAGGAAACTTAAAAATTCCAAAACCAAAGCTAATCAGCCGAGCTATCAGAGACTACACAATGCCTCGCTCTCGGGCAGCGCAGAAGCGACCAGTGGCAGTGCCAGCAGCGATAGTCGATTTAGCGGCAGCGGGATTGTGTCATTTCCCTATTCTACTTCAAGTTTTTTCACAAACATCCTCGACAACTTGGGTGACATATTGCCGCAAATCGCGGAATTCACACAGAAAGCTCAAGGAGCGCAAAACCGAATTGCCGAATCGCCGTTGGAAAGTGCGAGTGTTAGCCTCAGTAGTAGCGAAAGCGCCGAGGGCGCGGGCGCGGAAAACAGCGAACACTTGACGGCGCATGCAGATGTGCTTCGTGTTGTTTGCGATAATTTCCTGCGTCGACATCGCATACGTCCGGATTTCTTCTGTCAGTACCAGCAAGCGATCAGGTGGGTTTCGGTTTTACTGTGAGCCGCGAAAATTCTTAATAATTTTGTTGTTTTTTTTCTTTTATTTGAATTTATTTTTATTTTTAGCGCAACCAAAACTAAACCAAAGAATGCGACAACAGCGACAATTGCATGTGCGCAACCCATTACAGTTGCTGCTAAACCGACGTGTGTAAGAGAAACCGAGGCCAATGGTGTGACAATAAACTCTGAAGAGCTGACGGCAGAGCTGCAGCGGCAACGACAACGGCAACGGCAACAGCAAATGCAACAACAGAATGCAGAATTGCGAAACCTTTATACATTACCGCTGGTGAAGCGCAAGAAAGCGTGCAATACGATTGAAACAACAGCAACAATAACAAGAACATCAGCAGCAGCAGCGGCAGCATCAGTTGCCTCTTCTGGTCCAGGTAAGTGCAATAGGATCGCGTGTCGCGTATTTAGAACAACAACAACAATGATATTAAAGTATTTTAATTGCAACAACGTGCTGAAATTCTCACCACGGTTTTGTTGTTCGCGTTAATGTCAAAGCCATTTTGCTAGTTATGTCTTTTCTGCCATTAGCCATGCCGTGATTGCCAATTAATTTACAAAGAGATGTGTGCAATTCGAATTGAAAGTGTTTGGAAATTTTTTGTTTAATATGATTTTTCGTTGGAGTATACAAAATTTCAAAATTCCTCCACTGTTAGGTACATTACTGACGCAGTGCCTGGAAGGCGAACAAGTAAAACGTATCCTGAGCGTTCCTCTCTACATTTTTCTGACACCCAATTAAGAGGAAGCATCATAGTACTTTCTTTTTATGTTGTTGTTCTTGAAGGGCTTGCTAACGCAGCTTAGGAGCAGGCGAGCGTAGGCTAAGCTATCGAGGTCATCTATTGGGAGATCCAGGAAACGGACTGCTTCGACGTTTTCGGACCCGAGGTAAAATGGTGTTAGATGAGTTGGTTTTAGGGTCTAGGAAGAGTCGGAGTCTCGTTGCATAAGCGACATACGTTACACACTACGCCGACTACAATGTCTAGATCTTTAGTTTTACCCGGGTTCATCAAGACAGCGAAAGCTCTTCGTCCGCAAAAGAGAACACCATTCACAGGAAAAGAGAGTTTATGAAGGTGTTGATAGACTCTCGACGAATGGCTGGCGTTTACGGCCTGTCGATACGCCATCTTATCTAGCGGTTCTTGTCTAAATTGCTGCATGGAATCGTTGTAGTTGAGTACGACCTGTCTGATGTGCCTGAGGTGAATTTAGGCATTAAGTAAATTTCTGTTGGGATGTCCCCGACGGTAGCTAGTCGAAAACATTGAGAAGTTATCAGCATATCAGAGATCAAATAAACGCTTTCTTGCAGTGGGAGATACTTATGAAATGTAAACAAAAGTGGGGAGAGAACCCTATCGCTTGAAACCCCTTGTTTAATTTTACGGTGCTTAGAATGTTGGCCTCAAAATGTTGCTAATGACTGTTGTGGCCAAAGACCAAGACTGGATTCAGTTGTTTAAGAATCAGTATGCTTATTCCGTCGGAGCCGATAGTTTTGGAGGCTTCAGCCTTTTCGCTAACCCTCTCCACAACTTTCATGGACAATTCAAGCTCGGTTCAAATGTTTGTCAGTTTACTCCGTCGGTGGCTCACTTCCCTTTTCATCCTGTCGACCGAATGGTGCTGTGTGTATGTTGCACATACGTAGGTGGGTATAACTTTTTCTTTGCTTAGAGAAATGGTTTATTCGCGCAGAAGATGTGGTTTTGTGGTCTTAAGTAGTGTTCTAGAAAAAACCGGCCAGAAACAGAGAAGATATTTCTATATCTTACATCATACTTACAGCACATGTCGCTATATGTAATGCCCATACAGATCGCAACAGTAGGTTTTGGCCAGTTAAGTTTGACCATCCTGATGCCCTATCACGAAGTCGTGCTTAATGGAGCTAGATATTAAAACATGGCGGCGAAGAACTCTTCGCAGAATTAGGCTGGACGAAAGTGTGATCCGCCCAATCCATATTAAGGGGATCGCATATAAGGTCGTACTGAGCGTTTTGTGTGAAACCCATCGTCAGCGAACTTATTGGAGATTATCACTATGCATTTCGACTTGATAAATTCAGCATGCGACAAGAAGAGGATCTATACACAAAACCTTTTCATCGACTTTAAAGCCGTCGGGATTGGGAAGGACCCCCCTACAGCTATGCAGTACCAAACGAGGTTTCAGACAGTGTGACTCATTATAGATGTCTTTAGCTTGAACGAGGACAAGACAAAATATCTCTTATCATCAAATAAACATAATGATTTCGTCTAACTAGGAACCAACTTTAACACTAACAAATACAACAAGAAAATAATCATGTCAACAGTAGCTACTTTAGACTGTGTAGACAGAAGAAAAGTAAAGCTTTCTCTCGACGAACGTAAACCAAACTCTACTCATACCGGTCCTACTATATGGTACATTAGCGTAGACGAAGGCAACATCCCAACTATTATGGTCCTTTGCTCATTGGCAACGGTGAATACTGCAGACGATAGAACTTTGAACTGTACGAGATATGCGATGATATTGATATAGTTCTGCGGCTAAAGTTATCGAAATACTGGTGGGACGACTTACTACACGTTTTTCGATCTCCAAACGTGATCACAAACATGAAGCCAAAGCCGCTTGTGTGTATTTCACTATGACTCTGTGTAAAACATTTGAGCAACTCCCTGAAATTCATTGCATACTTATAGGCACCCACTATTGAATACTGAGCTGAATGTGCCTGGCTTTAATTTCATAATAACATAATAACTACAGCTGATTCAATAACACGCAAACCAGACACATACACGTAAATATACGCTCTTTATATAAAACACGTGCAACAAGCCACAAAGTGTGGGAGCGCCCATGCGATTGCTTATTGGAAATTTGTTTTGACGCGAGTACCTGTTTGGAGTATGAACGATTATCGACTCGCGCTCAGCACAGAGTTTGAGCAGCGCTTTGTTTTACATCAATCGTATTTGCTTGTATTGCGGTTTGTATGGAGATACTGTGAGAGCCAAGTTAGACCTGTTGCTGGAACGGCGGCTCCACCAATGTATGTATTTTGCGCAGGTAAACGTTTTTGCCACAAGAGCACTTGCGCCAATCGGAGTGCGACGACTTTAGTCTGCTAAGAGAGCTGAGCGTGGTCGGACGAAATTGAAAGATCTAACGGGCGTTCGTTAATTTAAGTTCAAAGAAGGTGTAAAAAAAGAAGAGAAATATTTATATATAGATATGTATGTACATATTTAAAGTAGCAGAAGAATAAAAATTAACAAAGAACAAGTGTTGTAAATAAAATATATATTTATTTCTCACTAAAGTAAGAAAAAATATAATGAAAATATAAAATTTAAATAAAATTTCCAATTTATATACAAATTTTTTTACATATTGCTGCAGAAATAACTTCTTAACGTTGTGTGGCCAATAAAGTCAGCTAAGAAGTGTGCATTTCGTACTGTGTACATATGTATAATATAAGAAAGTGTGTATTTTGTGTGTGTTGTGTCGTGTGTATCCGTTGATTGGGCTGACTGTCTGATCTGCGGCAATAACAGCAGCAGCGCCACACTGGAGTAGTCGGACAAGTTACCAGTTCTGAAAAGTGTTGATCAGAAAAGAAAATAAGTAGAAGAAAATACAACAAAAACAAACAAACAAATACAAAACATCAGAAATGCAAAACAGACCCAGCATGGAGTTTGAAATATAAAACAGAATAAAGTTCATAAAAAAGAGAGAAAAAAATAGTTAAATGAAATAAAACAAATTAAAATACAGAATTCATACAATGAAATAAGTTAAATAAAACAAAAGATATAAAATAAAACAATGAATTAAACTAAATAACGAAGATGAAATAAAATTAATAATAGATAACAAAATCAAAAAATTAAAGTAAATAAAATTAAAAAAATAACGTAAATTAAATAAAAATTAAATTAAATTCAGTTAAAAAATTAAATGAAATAAGATAAAAAATAAAATAATATTAATTAAAACAAAATAAAATAAAATATAAATGAATTAAGCTAAAATAAATAAATATTTTAACAAAAAGCAAACTGAAAAATATAGAATATAATCAAAATTATTTAAATAAAATAAATCCAATAAAAAAACGAATAAATGAAAAAAATGAAATAAAAAAATAACAAAACAATATATTTTAAATTAACAAAATAAAATAAAATATTGTAATATAATATAATATAATATAATATTGTACAATATAACATAATATAGTACAAGATAAAATAAAATAGAACAAAATTAAAAAAAAATAAAATTAAAAAATAATTTAAGTAAAATTAAACTAAATTAAAATGCATTAAATAAAATAAAATGAAATATCATAACATAAAATAAAACAAAATGTAATTAAATTAATTAACACAAAATAAAATTTAAAAAATTGAATATAATAAGGTTTCTGTGTTATAAAATATAATTAATTAAATTAAAATTAATTTAAATAAAATAATACAGAAAAAAATAAAATAACATAAAATAAAACAAAGTAAAATAAGAATAAATTAAATTAAATAACACAAAATAAAATTTAAAAAAAAATAAACTAAATAAAGTGTTTGTGTTATAGACTAATAATATTGTTATAAAATAAAATAAATAAAAATAAAACTAATTTTAATTAAATTAAATTAAAATTAATAATTTTAAGAAAAGTAAAATTAAACTAAATTAAATAATGTAAAATAAATAGTATAATATTATATAATATAAAATAAAAATTAAATAAAATAGCATACAATAAAACAAAAAAAGCAATAAATTTGAACGAAATAAAAGTAAATTAAATTGAATGAAACTAAATTAAATATTATGAAATAAAATAAAATAAAATAAAATTAAACCATTTAAAATAAAATAAAATGGTATAGCTAAAAAGTTAAATAAAAAAATAAGAAATAAAACATAAATCTCAGCAATAATAAAAGCAACACTAGAATTTCAGAGTTGTTATAACAACTAAGAAAAATATTTGTGGAAGGCCATAAATGCCCAGACGCTGTGGTATCTGCCACATACATATGCACCTATGTACCATGTACATACGTATATCTTTATGGCTCATTCCGCACATTCAACGCGTTCAACTGCCTAAAACTTTGTCTACATTTCTTTCAGTTGTTATTTGTTTTGTTTTTAATTCATTCTTCTGATTCGGTTTTCTGTTTTGTGTCCCCTCTTCGCCCATTTGCAACAGTGTTAGTTATTGTTGTTAATGTGTTCGTGGAGCTCAAGTTGTTGTTGGCAGTTTCACTTGTTTTGAAGATACATTGTGCTGCCCATAAATGCACAAATTCCAATTCGACAAGAAGCTGGAGCAAAGGAGGCA